CACACCAGGCAGCCAACCCTCGTGCTCACGGGCACAAGCACCACCCCCACCCCACCCCCGGGGGGTGGGGGGCAGCGCCAGGCTCCTGGTGTCCTGGCTGAGTCTCCTTGTCTCTGGTCCTCAGGAGCAACAAGACAAGTTTCCACTCCAGAAGGTCCTGAAGGTGGCCACCACCGAGCGAGAGTTTGGCAACTGCCTCTTCCGCCAGAACCGTTTCTATGATGCCAAAGCGAGATACAAACGGGTAAGCGTGCCTCGGAGAGTCCGGACTTCCAGAGAGCCCTGTCCCCCCTCCTCTTAAAAGTCTCAAAGGAACAACTCCTCGTGACGAAGAGACCATGACTCGGGGGCAGAGGCCACCAGGAGGCTTCTGGGGCCCTGGTGTGCCCTAAAGAACCCCTGGTGGCACTGTGGGCTAGCCGTCAGGTTGGCAGTTCAACCCCTCCCTGTCCCCACCCAGTCCCTCTGGGGAAGAACCAGGCTGTCTGCTTCTGTGAAGACTTAAAGTCTCAGAGACCCTGTCTTGGGTCCATGTGAGTTGGAACCAACCCAGTGGAAGTGGGTGCCTTAGTTCAACTGGGTGCCGGCTGTCAGCGGGTGCGTTCCAGGTGTGACGGTGCGCTGAGCCACCTGCTTGTTCTTGTGCGATCTGTGTGTGCGCACTTCAGTAATGAATCTTGAAGTGGCAGTTTTGAAGATTCCCATTGCAGTATGAGGATGCGGCCCTCTACCAGCTGGTTTCCCCGCCCCATCTGCATCTCAGTTCACGCCCCTGGAACAGTGGCTCACTTGGAGGGCAGGCTCGGCTTTGGGTCACAACCTGGCTGCTTCTGCAGGCTGTGCTGACTGCCACCCCTGGCCGTGCTTGGTCGCTCATTCCCTCAGCAGGTGCTCGCTCGGGGAGCACTTTGTGTATCGCAAGGAGCCCTCGCGTGCCGTAGCGCTTCCCCGGGGGCTGCTAACTGCAGGGTCAGCAGTTCAGAATCACCAGCCGCTCTTCTCCTCCCGAAAAGAGTTAGTCTCTACGGTGGGTGAAGGGGAAGCGTTGTTGCTTTAGTGAGCATGGAGTTTATGTCAACATGGTGGAATACTCTGGAAAAGCTTATCCATGATCGTACAACACAAACAGTACAGCCGTGGCACTGAATTGTACATGTAGAGGTTGTGGAATTGGAGAATGTCTTGTGTATATATTTGCCACAATTAGAAAAAAGTACATGACTAACAATGGTGAGTTATTCACAAGGAAGAAAATGTTCTCGAGTTGAATGTGGTGAATAATTGTACATCTCTTGATTGGATTACTGAGTTGTACAGCTTGTGGACAAAGTGCTGAACAACTGTTTAAAAGACTGAGAGCGAGTGGCAGGGCCTCCCAGGGGCCGTTCTACCCTGCCAGTCAGGTCGCTGGGAGTCGGCATCGAGTCCCTGGCAGTGAATTTGGGTTTGTGCTTGTTTCTGCATGCTAGACCCCTGCGCACCACATCCCAGACACGGTGCCTTTCTGCCGAGGCCATGACCCTCCCTGACACAGGCCCCTGCCCTTCTCCGCTTGCACCCTCCAGCCAGAGTCCAGGGAAGAGTTCTCTGTCGGCCCCATGGACACCGTCCAGGCTCTGCCTTCACAACTGAAGAGAGAGGAAATTAATGCACTTGCCGCAAGAGTGACCATTTTAAAGGGAACATTCCAGGGGGGGGGGGGAGAGGGGCCTGCATAGCCCACGGCCAGGATCTGATTGCACAACATGTTTCTTGTCTCCCCAAAGAAGCCCCCGCCCTTGCTGGTCATCACTGGCCACGTCCCTGCGACCCCTTGGCAACCACGAATCTCCTTTGTGTATCTGTGGGTTTCCTGTGATGAAATCCTCAAGACCAGGGAACCCCAGAAAGTGGGGAGCACAGGCCACGATCCTTCCGTCCCCTCTCCCCTCGAGTTCTGTGTCGTCCCCACAGATGCGGCCCCCTGTGGCTGCCTTCCTCCACACCATCGCCTGTTTTCACGGTGCCCGTGGCTCGGAAGGCACTTCCTTTGCCAGTGGTCCCCTCGCTGTGTCAGCAATCCGTGGCCCACAATGGTGTGGAGTTTGTGGCGTGGGCCCGTGGGGCTTCTCTGCCATCTCTGAGATGCCACTCCTCCGGACCCACTGCCTGCCCCCTTCCCAGGCCTTGCTGCTCCTGCGCCGCCGCCAATCAGTGCCCCTTGAAGAGCGGCACCTGGTGGAGGCCGACAAACTGCTGGTGCTGCTTAACCTGTCCTTCACCTACCTGAAGCTGGGGCAGCCCCCCCAGGCCCTGCGTTATGGAGAGCAGGCTCTGAGCATCAACCAAAAGAATGCCAAGGCCCTGTTCAGGTGTGGCCAGGTGAGTCAGAGGGCAGGGACTTAGGGACAAACACCCAGGAAGAGAGAGCCCAGAAAGGGGTGGGTTCCTCCATGAGCATCCCAACGTGTCCGTCTCTGGCAGGCCTGCCTCCTCATGACCGAGTACGAGAAGGCCCGGGATTTCCTGGTCCGAGCGCAGAGGGAACAGCCCTTCAACCACGACATCAACAACGAGCTGAAGAAACTGGCCAGGTGCGGCCTCCGCGTGGAGGGGCTGTGGGTCTGGGGCCCTGGTGGGGTAGCGGTGCGGGATATGGGGTGGGACAAGGTGAGGAGGAGGCAGAAGGTGAAAGTAGTGCGAGGCAGCGCCCCCTAGAGCTGCTTCCACGCAGCGCTCGGCCTGGGCACCTCCACACCTGCCCCCACTGGGACAGGCTGCTGAGAAAAGCCGAGGTCTCTCAGGTCTGGTTTCCACTCACCAAACCAAAGCCCAGCGCACGCTGCCCAGGCGATGCGGACTCAGCTGCCCCGTGGGGCAGGGCAGGGCAGAGCTGCCCCAGGGGCTTCTGAGACGGACTCCTGTGGGAGCAGAAAGCCCCGTCTTTCTCTGGCAGAGCGGCTGCTGGTTTCGAACTGCTGACCTTGCAGATTGCAGCCCAGCACTAACCACGGGCTCCTTGACTCCTCAGGGTGGTTTTCCTGAAAGTGACCTGAGTGAATGACGTTTTTGCAGGAATGTAATTTTGTGAGGATTCCAGTCTTCCCCCACCCACCCCCAAACATTGTGCTTATTTTATTTAAATAAATCATTCTATTGGGCTCGTAGAGCTCTTATCACAACCCTTACATCCATTGTGTCAAGCACACTTGTACACATGCTGGCATCATTTCCAAAACATTTTCTTTCTACTTGAGCCCTTGGTGTCAGCTCCTCTTTTTTCCCCCTCCCTCCCCCACCCTCGTGGCCCCTGGATCATTTATGAATTTTTTTTGCTTTCACTTCTTACACCATCCGCTGTCTCCTGTCCCTGTGCCCAGACGGCTTGCTGTGTGTGAGGTGAAGGCTTACAGAGCATGGAACCTCCAGCCGCTGGAGGCCCGTTTCCTCCTCGGGGACACTCCTTCCCGCCCTGCCCCACGCTGTCTCTGTGTGGGTCTCCTAGGACCCTCTGAGCTGCTTTGGCGGCGCCCTGTTAGATTTCCACGTCCCGTTTCTCCACGTCTCCCCCCACACCTGTCAGTCCCCGTTGTTCTGACCGGAGCCTTCCTGTCAGCAGGTGTGGTGCTGGGGTGGTGGTTCTGTTGATCATTGGAGGGGCTTCTAAAGGTTCGTGGGAAAATGGAATGAAAGATCATGGTGGTCCCCCCCCACACAAGCTTTTTGAAACCCCTTGTGCATAACAACACCTGCCCTTCCGACAGCCTTCGCACACCCTTTTCAAGGATGTTCAGTGTAGCCTGCCTGCTGTTCCCCAGATTTCCCATCACCCTTCACAGCAGCTCAGTGGCACCTAAGCATTGTCTTCTTACCCCCCCTCACTTCCCGTTGCCATGGATGAGCCTTGTCCTCCGCACGCGCCAACTCTAGATGTGGCTCAGCATTTGCCTCTCCCATCGGACCGCTTCATTCATGTTTGCTGGGTTGGTCCGCGTGCTGCAGGACTTCATTCCTCTGTGTGTGGACCTCACCACGTTGACGTGGCAGAGAGACTGTTCCTTACAGATGGATGTCTGCACCCGGGACAGGGCCATGACTGGGCCGGACACGTGTTACGAGGAGCTGACAATTGGGGTTCAGGGGTTTCTCGAGGCAACCAGGCTGGCTTGTGGGGGCCAGGGGCACACCCCCAGCCATTGGGTTCTCAGGGCTGGGTACTCAGTCTGAGGGGAGTTGACCAGCAGCGGCCGGCTGAGATGTGCACTTCTCTCCACAGGGACTACAGGGTCTACACGGACAAAGAGAGAGAGATGTGCCAACGGATGTTTTCCCCTGGAGACGACGGTGCTGCCGGAGAGGACGGCTGGTGAGCCAGAACGGCCGGTGAGCCCGGGCGGGGATGGCAGGGAGAGTGACAAGAGCAACTCGCTGCCATAGGTCCATCTGCTCACAGGACAGGGTAGCACCCACTCCCCCGGAGCTTCCGAGACCGGCTCTTTACAGGAGGAGAAAGAGCCTTGTCTTTCTCCTGAGGTTTCCAACTGTTGCAGCCCCGCTCGCCCCCCACAACACTGCCTGGCTCCTTCCAGGGGTGGCAGGAAAGGTGGGAGGGTCTTGCCCAGCCTGGAGAGGGGCTGGGGGCCGTCCTGACCCCAGCAGCTAGTCGTACCTGTCTGCCACTAAGAATCGGGCAAGCCAGAAAGGGTCCTTTTTGCAGCAAGTGATCGGGATACTAGTGCCAAAGGCACGTGGAGGGGCCTTGTCAGAGCGCGGGCTGTATTCACAGGCCACTGCCCGCGGCTGGGGCTTCCGCTTACCAGGTGTGGCAGGCCTTGACCTCGACAGGTCCAATGTTAATTACAAACTTAATTAAACATAAAGTAGTTTTGAGAGACGTGAGTTCACGCTAATGTCCCCGCCCGTAACTTGCAGCGAGAGACCATGAATCTCGCCCTTGATGCGGCGCTGGAGCTGGAGCTGGAGGTGACGGAGCGTTTGTCTCCATCTTGCTTCCTGCGGGGAGTCTCAATTGACTGACGCCTCTGCCTTGCCCTCCACGCCCCTTGATTGGGTGCGAGCCTAAGGACGCAAGCCTAGGGTGAGGTGGGCAAGACTCCGGCCTCAGCGGGCTCTAGCACAGCTCCAGTGAGGCTGGCGAGGGACAGGCAGGGCCTCTCTGGTTCTGTTGTTCACCGGTCGGTCGCAGTGAGTGGGAGCCAGCTGTCACAGTCGACAACGGTGACAACAAGAACGGGGCTCTTCAATCCGAGTGACCCTTGACTTAGAGGTGTGAAGACGTTGGGTCCAACAGAGCAGGCAGCCCCCAACCTTGCCCTGTGCAGCACACCCCTGTGACCTAGCAGCTGGCGGGGGCTAGGGCTTCCTGCCCGCACAGGAGAGAAGTCTGGGGTTGGCCTGCTGTGACTGAAGAAAACTCGTGGAAATGCAGTCACCTGCCTTCGACACCTGCTCACGGCAATGGCTCTGCTCACGGAGAAGCTCAAGGGTCGGCTCGCAGACAGCTGCTGCAAGGGCCCAGGGCCGAGCCATTCTGACCTTCGTGCCCCATTCCAGGGCCCACAGAGGAGGGGTTGAACGGCCTCTTTATGCTGGACTTTCCCAGGGTGGTCCTCTCTGCCCTTGCCGGCATCAGAAGTAAAGGTTGCCTTCACCCCTGACCCCCTGGCTCTTGCCTGCGGGTCTCTGGAAAGAGGCGGCATGGTGGGGGGCATAGGCGTAGCTGGAGGTCTTCTAAACTGAGGCAGGAGCCAAGGATCTCTTGTTGGCCACAGTCCTGCTCCAGTCAAAAGCAGAGGGCTGTCGGCGGGTTTGCCAGGTCTCCCGGTGTGTGAGCTAGAATGTCCCCGTTCTGTGGGGAGTTCTCCCAGGGTCTGGCCTAGAGCTGGGTCCTGGGAAATCCAGCTGGGTAGTGGGCGTCTCCTCCACCCCCTTGGAGCCTTAGGATTTCCGCTGGTGTCTGTCCCTTGGGGCCTCGGCTCTGCAGTGTGGTCTGTCAGCAGGCTGACTGGGTTGGGGGCTGCTCTGTTCTCCTGAAAGCGACCTCACTGTTGGCTTCCACGTCCTCTCCAGGGTGTGACACACTTCAGCCTGCCCGTCCCCGTCCCCGATGGTTCCCTGCTCCCCTTTGCCGCGTACACATGTCCAGGGTGGTTGGTCCTGTGACTATCCTGTGGTTGGGGTGTGTGGTTTTGGCCTGTGCTTTTTGTTTTTTTTTAATCGTTTTATTAGGGGCTCATACAACTCTCATCACAATCCATGCACACATCAATTGTGTAAAGCGCATTTGTACCTTCATTGCCCTCATCATTCTCAAAACATTTCCTCTCCACTTAAGCCCCCGGCATTAGGTCCTTGTTTTTCCCCTCCCTCCCCGCTCCCCCCTTCCCCATGAGCCCTTGATAGTTTATAAATTGTTATTTTGTCATATCTTGCCCTGTCTGACGTCTCCCTTCACCCACTTTTCGGTTGTCTGTCCCCCAGGGAGGAGGTCACATGTAGATCCTTGTAATCGGTTCCCTCTTTTCAACCCACTCTCCCTCCACCCTCCCAGTATCGCCACTCACACCACTGGTCCTGAAGGGATAATCCGCCCTGGATTCCCAGTGTTTCCAGTTCCTATCTGTACCAGTGTACGTCCTCTGGTCTAGCCAGACTTGCAAGGTCAGATTCGAGTCATGATAGTGGGGTGGGAGCGGGGAGAAAACATTTAGGAACTAGAGGAAAGTTGTATTTTTCATCGTTGCTACATCACACCCTGTCTGGCTCATCTCTTCCCCGAGACCCCTCTGCAAGGGGATCTCCAGTGGCCTACTAATGGGCTTTGGGTCTCCATTCCGCACTCCCCCCATCATTCACTATGGTAAGATTTTTTGTTCTGATGATGCCTTATACCTGATCTTAAAGCATGTTCATTTTGTCTTTTTATGTCTCACTGTGAATCGGGCGGGGATTTACAGAAGAGCCCTGGTGGGGGGCTCTGGGTTAGGGGTTGGGCTTCTAACTGCAAGGTTGGCAGTTCAAAACTACCACATACACCATGCAGGAGAACGTGAGACCATCTGCAGGCTCAGACCCTGTACAGCAGCGGTTCTCAACCTGTGGGTCAAGACCCCTTTGAGGGTCGAACAACCCTTTCACAGGGGTCACCTGATTCATAACAGTGATGAAGTAGCAAGGACAATAATGTTATGGCTTGGGGGGTCACCACCCCATGAGGAACTGTATGAAGGGGTCGCAGCAGGAAGAAGGTGGAGGGTCTCAGAGAGCCAGGAGCCACTGGCTGTTGCAAGGCATGGTTTGGGTGGGGGGTGATTCCAGCCCAGATCTGTCTCCCTTCCACAGTTCACGCCTGCCTTGTTCTGTCTCACGACTGCACTGTGCTGATGGAGCCCTGCTCTCCCTGAGTCTTCCCCTGGTCCCCATGTCCAGCCCTCGGCTGCCCCTTTGGTCTCAGAGGGTCGATGATTCCAGGTGTGCTTCCAGCAGCCTGATGCCCGCCGTGCCCCTCACAGACTGTCACTGCGTCCTGTCTGAAGAGATGTGCCCTCTCACGGCACCTCTGCCCCACCTCCGCCAGCGGGGCGTGGACCCGGTGGGGCTGCCTCTGCTTTCCAGAAGGCAGGGCCAGTGGGAGGAGGGGGCGGGGAGGCAGAGGTGGGCCTAACAAGGCCTCACGCCCCAAACGGGCACAGACCCTGCAGAAGCGGCACCTTGGGCTGACTGCTAGGGACTGGCCTTGGGGAAGCACCTGCTCCTGGCCTAGCTTTCCCACTGGGCTCCTCAGGGTGGCTCTGGCTGGAGTCAGGGACCTTCCCTGTCCGGGCCAGTCTGGACAGAGCTGGAGGGCTCCTGGGAGGAGGTGACTGGCTAGATTAAATGGCCTTCCCGGTCCCGTCCACTCTGCCACGTTTTACCATTGGGCACGAGACCTTAGACAGGCAATAAATGCAGCTGCTCCCACCGGTGACGCTGTCAGTTACAAGCTGGGCCGCTCACCACAAGGGCAGCAGTTCAAAACCACGGCTGCTCGGAGGGGGAATTCTGGTCTCGGGAACTGCAGGAGCAGTTGTCCCTGTCTTTCCAGGGTCACTGTGAGTCGGCATGGGCTCGAGGGTGGCGAGACAGACGAGACTGGAGATGAAGCACACCTGCTGCCCGCCGAGCGGCCTTCTCCGGGGGTTTGGCTTTACAGCAACAGGGCAAGCCTGCCAGTCAGGATGGCTGAGTGCCAGGCCATGTGGTGAAGGCGATGTGACCCCTCAGCTGGGCCACATGAGACTCTGTGGTTTGACCAGTAGCGGTGGTTGGGGGCCAGAGGTGTCCTCCAGGCAAGGGTCCCTTTGTTCCAGACAGCCTTCCATTTCCCAGCCCTGCTGCTGGGCTGCCTTGGGGATCCGTTTGATGCCCTTCAACCCAAAGAGATTGCCAAGTAAAAGCAGAAGCTCTCACCTCTAATGTGAGTCGATGGAGACCTTTTGCCCAGGTCTGCGTCCTGAACAAACCCTAGCCCAGCCCCAGTGCTGTCAGTCAGGCCGACTCGGAGCGACCCGAGGGATGGGCTGGAACAGCCCACGGTCTCCCAAGTCGCTGCGCCGGGAGCAGACGGCACGTCTCTCCTATGGAGCAGAGCGCTTTACGCCCTGCACCTCCAGGCCCCCTGACTGTGGGCTTGTCCTTTACACAGACCGGTTCTTCCCCTCTCTTTCTCGAGGGTGGCCGGGCCGGGTGGCAGCCTGCGGTCAGCAGAGGTCATATCGTTTTCTAGATGGCTGCTCCGCAGTCTTGTGATCTTGGGGCGTCCGTGAAATGCACGGTACCCCCCCCCTTCTTGGGAGAGCATTTCCTCGGGGAGAGGCTCTCTGACCCTCGCCTCTCCCCGTAGCCTCTCAGCAACTGTGATGGGCCCCCGAACCGGACTCCTGAGCGCCCACTGGTAGTGGGTTCACTGAAAACTCAACTCAGAAACAAACCCCCTTCCCCACCATTGAGGGATTCCGACTCGTATAGACCCTGTAGGGCAGGGTGGAGCAGCTCCTACCAGTGTCCAGGACGGCCAGTCTTCACCGCAATAGGAAGGCTCCCCTGTCATCGTTGGAGCAGCTGGTGGGTTTGAACTGCTGACCTTGTAGATAGTGGCCCAATGCATGACCCATTATGCCATCAGGACCCCTCCTCAAAGAGAAGTGCGGCATTAACATAAGTTCCAAGAGATGACTCGCTGCTCCTAGTCAAAGTGGCTGCTCGTGGTGTGCCCTTGATGGTGATGGCTGCAGGTGAGAGAGGGGCCCTTGATGGTGATGGCTGCAGGCGAGAGAGGGGCCCCGTGCTCGGTCCCGCCCTCTCCTTGTGACTTTCGGGGAACAGTGTAGTCAGCTTGACGGTGACTCTGCCCTTCCTGTCCCGGCTTCCTTAAGG